ATTAAAATATTGGGTACTTTTGCTAGTATTTCGTTTTTGTAACTTGTATATTTTCAATAAAAAATAATGTTTGAGATGCTGATGCTCTACAGTATAAAGTACATTTTTTGTTTTTTGCTTTTTGTTTTTTATTTTTTATTTTTGGTAAAGACATTTTTTGTTTTTGGTTCCCGGGAAAGTGCACGCCAGGCTAGATCGGCATCGCGTGGTTGACAAGTTTGCAGTCTAGCTAGTTTGGAATGGTCTTCGGAAATGTTATAGGTAGAATATTAAATAATATTATAAATTTATAATATAATATAATATATATTTATAAATTTACCTACCTTATAAGTTGACAGTGTAACTTAAAATTTATTAGTTAGGATATTTTTTATTAATTTTATACAAATTTTTACATTAGATTTACATTTTTTTATTGATTTTAAGATAAAATATTATATTTTATTATATTTTATTTTTATATTTTATTTTATTTGAATATTTTATGAAAATTTATATAAAATTAATTATAAATACATTAATAAATGAAACTTAACATATATTTTTATGATACATATTAAAAAAATTTTATATTTATTTATTTATTATAATATATTTATTTAATATTATATCATAATTATAAATTTATAAATTTATATAATATTATAAATACTACATGATGAGATGGTTTTTTTTTTTGACTTTTTATCATTCTTTGGTTTTCAATATTATAAAAATACCCGTAAAAATGATTATCCAAAATAAGTTGAAAGTTCCTCCGCACCAATTAATTCACTTTTAAACAAAATCGTATGAAATAATGATAACGAAAATAAGAAAATAAATTTTTATTTAATGTATAAATAAAAAAAAATGAAAAGATAGTGGTAAAAAAGAAAAATAATTTTGTTAATTAATTCTCCTATAGAATCAGTCAAAACAACACGTTGCTTCCTCGCAAAAAATAAAAAAGAGTCGAATCGATACTGTAGAAGTTTTGCAGTTTTCCTAATTGGACCGGACGTGGGAACCCGAAACGTCGAGATGGTTCTATTGATTCATTGAATCTTTAATTTTCTTTATTTACGACTTTAAGTTTATTCTTGGACAAATTAAGTTCCCACTGGGATGATTTCAGTTTCCAACCGTTGATTTTGCTCCTTGACATTGTAAATTGACCTTTACTATATAGTCTTTTCATTTGATTATTAAAAAGATTACATTCATTTTTAGCCACTCATTTAATGTGTTTAATTTGTGAAACCCTATTTAAAGTCCAGTTAAAAAAATTAGAATAATAGTGAAACAAGGAAGTTCAAGAACTGGGAAAAAACCAAAAGTAAAGGGATATTAATTTATCAAAAAATAATTATATAATTTAAATTGTATTAAATTATATGAAAAATTTATATTATTAAATTGTAACAAATTTTCTTCATATCAAAAGCTATCTTTTTTTAATTATTTGCATTTTATAATCTTGTAATCATTAATTAGAGTGTCCCAAATTATTTAAAAGTGAATAGCGATAATGGTTATAATAATTTTAAAATAAATAAATTTATTAAATAATTATTTTTAACTATTCAAATAAAATTATTAATCATTATCTCTTAAATACTGTAGCAAACGTGCCATTAAATTCTAATCGGCTATTGGTTGTCACTTTTTCGAAAATAAAGAATCCGAGAAAGCCGACAAAAAATGTCAAGTGCCTTGGCTTAAGAAGTTAATTATT